GTGTAAGATCTAGAAAAACCGAAGTGAACGGAGTTCATGGAGGTAGGCCTAGGCCCACTGGGGCTGTAGTGCCAAGGAAAAAAATGTTCTATATACTGCTGATCACGGTAGCCGAGCCGTCTAAAGTATGTACTGTCTTCGTTCGCTCGGAAGCCAGGATCGTGGGATCGAATTCCACACAAGGCATGGATGGTTGTTATATGTGTGTGTGTTTATTCTATGTTTGTGTTGTCCTGTGTTTAGGTAGAGGCCTTGCGACAAGCTGATCACTCGTTCAAGGAGTCCTACCGTCTGTATAATGATCATTAAACTGAAAATCAAAGGTCAGGGCCCAAGAGGGCTGTAGAGCCAGTGGGAAAAACGCTCTATACACTTAGTGTAAATTTGCAAATTAATTTTTCATTCATTATTATTATTATTATTATCATCATCATCATCCATTCTCATATTAACCTCCTATCGTCGCTTCATCTGGATCTTCCAAACTGGCTCTATCTTTCAGGTCTTGTGATTAAAATTTTGTGCTCCTTTCTTGTTTGCACCGTGCTTGCTGAATAACTCGTCCAATTAATCCACCTTACTCTGTAGTCCTAATATTATTCGGTATGATCATAATCATAATAATGAGAGCTAGACAAATTGTCCCTTACTCATACCAGTTTAGAGAATAATACTTTCTGCAATGTGACACCGTGTAGTCTAGTAAACGTTTATGGCCATTTTGGAGGAAGGTACTACCTCCATTTTCAGTGTCGTAAGACAAGGCGAACAAGAAAGGAAACAAACTGTAGCCTTAGTACATTTTTGCTCTCTACGTGCTCTTTTCTTCCTAGCTTTGCGTTCTCTTCTTTCCTGAAGCTGCAGAAAGTATATTCTTTCGAAATTTTGATAAATTTCTGCAAAGAAGAGGAATCGGCATAGTTCAGTTGGTATAGGGACGGTTGGACGACCCGGGTTTGATTCCCGACAATGCAAGCCCAGACCTACTCTGGGGTTCACCTAACCTTCTATCCAATGGGTATGTGGGGCTCTTTCTCTGGGGGTGAAGTAGTAGGGGCGTGAAGCTGACCACTCACCTCCATATAGTGCCAAGCTCAAGAAAGATGGAGCTGTACCTCAACTTCCACACACGTCTTCATGGTGTAACGTCATTTAATTAAGCAGGGGATGTAGTTTACCTTACCTTTACTGAGGCCAGAATTTATGCCCGGTTCGTGCCTTTCTTTCAGAGCTGACCGGGATTGGGGCCTGGCTCAGTTGGATACGGTGAGGGAGAGACCGGCTGTCAACAGCTCCTTGTTCGCTGCACTGACTAACTTCGGTTACCATAACCTGCACCATCTGTTTCCTGCTGTGGACCACAGCCGCCTTCCGCTTCTCTACCCCGCACTGAAGAAGACCTGCGAAGAATTCAATGTCAGCTTCTCAGAATATTCGCTCCTCGAGATGTACAAGGGGCAGTTCCAGCAGATCGCTAGAAACAAACCGAATCTTATCCCTCCAGGAGAAACAGACACAGGAGTAGCCAAACCGGATACTTAAAAATTTTCCTGCAGTATAATTGGACTGTGCCCGAATTTTGGTTCACAGTAACAACCTAGCTATTGAAAGTGTGAGTAATTAGAATACATTTAAACTGGACTAAAGAGAGATAAAAGCCGGTCACGGTAGCCGAGACGTCTAAGGCATGCACTGTCTTCGCTCGCTCGGAAGCCGGGATCGTGGGTTCGAATCCCACTCAGGGCATGGATGTTTGTGTGCGTTTTTCTGTGTTTGTGTACAGGCAGAGGTCTTGCGACGAGCTGATCACTCGTCCAAGGAGTCCTACCGTCTGTGTAAGATCTAGAAAAACCGAAGTGAACGGAGTTCATGGAGGTAGGCCTAGGCCCACAGGGGCTGTAGTGCCAAGAAAAAAAAAGAGGGATAAAACAATTATTATTTTCTTGCTCTGCAACCATCACAGTGCCGCATAAGAAATAGAGGGGTCAATTAAGAAATAGAAGAAGTGAAAATATCCTGCTTGATCAGGGGAATCACGCACACAGGAGGCGGTGATAAATTAATTTCAAGTAACAATGTACTGATGATTAGCAAGGAAAAACAATAAAATCTTTTATAACTCATTATTACTGTAATATTGTATTTCGGCTTCATACTGGCATTATAGCTGAGCCATTTATTATTGGCCCCTTCTCCACAATTCGTGTATGAATATTATAAAATATATTCGTGGCGCGCTGTAAAAACAACACAGCGCGCCACGAACACCGACTGGACGACATCAAAGAACCGTCTTCTCAAGAACGACAAGGCGGCACACGTTCGGTCCCCGTCAAGAGAAGTAATAAGAAGAGGACACGAACCCACTTATCATGACCGATAGATAGATACAGGAGGCCTATTGCATTGATTCCAAGCTCGCCAGGTTTGAATCCTCTGGATTTTTACCTCTGGAAACACTCAAAACCCTTGTGTACGCAGCTCCTGGAGACAACAAAGAGGCACTCCACCATCGCACAGTGGATGCCTGTCAGACTATGCTCATATTCAAATGGACGCAGAGGTCCGTGATGAGACGTGTCGAGGCGTGAACTAAATCTAACGGAGGACATTCTGATCGCTTGTCATAAATGTACTCTATCATCTATAATTCGCAAAGTAAATGTTTCCTGACATATGCTGATATGGAAGTTTTTCTTGTTTTGATATGATTGTGTTTATTGGACTCCTTTTTATTATTGCACTTGATTATGACAGCTCACACATTGAACCCCTTCTTAACGACGTCTGTTTCAGAAATCTCTCATTGTTGTCTGAATCTTGAAGAGTCTTTAGACTCTCAAATTCTGGATCTGTATCTTTACTCCTCCAATTCACTGTTTGTTATAACTGTTAAGTAGCCCTCATAGAATACACCACGTCCAACGGTTAATTGTCCTCTGTTGTCCGGTTGGTGGTCCCGGGAATCTTGTGTTTAGTAACATGTTGCCTGCTAACGGCTCGTTCGCTGCTATATGTTGCAACGGAAACTAGTATGTACCCAGTCGTTGCTCATTAACGGACGTCTGGATCTGGCTTCACTATTCCGGCTTTCAGGCGTCATGTCACAATATATAAAGAGATTAACTCAACAATCTTCTCTTTTTCAAATTAACGTAGTTTATGTTCTTTCCCTAGTTTGAGATGCCAAGCGTGAAACCAGTACAAGATAAGAAGTAATACTTAGCTACAGTTTGAATATTATAACACGTATTTAGTTAGCAGATTGCTAAGAGGAGATTCTGAACTGAACTGCCGTAAGCATTCCCCGAAACGAATCTGCTGTTTACTTATTTACTAACGGGAATTTTAATATTTTACCGTCGCCCCTACTTGTTTTCAATTTATTTCATTCTCGAAGGATTTATTAGCTTCTTTATATTGTTGTTTTGTTATACATTGAGACAGTAAGACATAAATATATATAGTTTTCTAGAACAGCTGCTCTGCTAGCATCAATTAGAAATTCCGTGTTCCTCTTTGTGTTAATACTTTGCTAAATTATGAAGAGCTTTCTGTTTATAAAATCATTCTCTGTCTGTTTCCCGTTTCCTGACATATAACCTCGTATAAGAAAGAAATAAAAACTACAGGACTACGATGACAAAAATTGTTACGGTACACAAAGGAAATTGATGTCATGGTGTCAAAATGCATTTGGGTCACGTATGAATGACTGGACGTAATATGGAAATATATAGACTCTCCATATACATGGGTTTATTAATCCACCCCACCCCCCCGCCGCTATATCTGTCCATATTGCAGCGAATATGACGGCTGAAGAAAATTAATTACGGCACACCTCATTAGGGGGGTACGCGGTAGCGTAGTTTTTTTTGAGGCACTAGGCTACTAGTCGGAAGGTCGCGGCTGGATTTTTTCAAATTACTTATTCCTTCCAGCCGCACTATGGCCCTGGGGCCGACTCAGCCTCTAGCAGAAATGAGTACAAGGAATCTTCTTGGGGGTTAAAGAGCGACCGGCGCATAAGGCTGGCATCTGTGAGCCGATTTTCTGGAGAAAATATGGGAGCCTCGATGTCTCACAACACTATGGGCCTTCACGGTCTATTACAGGGATAGCTTCATCATTGTTTTTACTTTACCCCTCATTAGAAACAGAGGAAATCAGACAACTGCACTACTGAATGCACATGAGTGAGTTCAGTTTCAGAAAATAGAAACCATTGGTAGAGTTGCTCTAATTTGTTTGTTAAGTGGAAAATTAATTATCTGCGATACTGTTTATACAGTTTGAAGTCACTAAACACTAACGGTCTAGCGGTTATCGTATTTGATGCTTGTTCGGGAGGCAGTCGCCACAAATTCCAACTGAGCATATCCTGAATAAAACAGCTCTGTACCTGTTGGCAAAAACGATATGGGAAAGTGAAGCTACTGGATTCTATTATTTACGGACTTTGTGAATTCATACACCTGCAAAAATTTAAGGTATATTTATGCTGGACTTTTCTTCCGCATGGCTGCCTACACAATTTCATTCCGTACGCTGGTCAGTAGAGCAGGTGAATTTTATTATCTATCATATACCATCAGTCGCAATACCTCGAAGTTGGCTGTTTATCCGACATGTTTAAAAAACTAGAATGCCGTTTTCAGGGGTATTTAATTTGTGTTATAAAATAAACATTTGCTCAAGACTACCGTCTGTGATTGTGTATGCTTTTTAGTATTCAAAATGCCTAAAGATTTGTCTAGAGAACCGTCTTACAGATAAGTACATCATACATTACAAATGTGGTTGTACGGTGGAGGTATTTGACCCCGCCTCCCTACCTGAATTCAAAGTCAAAGTCACATTGCGACTGACGGTCAGTCAGTCGGTAAATCTTGGTGTCGAGCCCTATCTGGGGCTCATGACCAGATATTAATTATTACCGTTTGACAGTTACGGTCTTGTTTCTGTGGGGCGCCCTCTCTGACGAGAAGACGGGTCTGTCTTTTGTTTATGCTGCTGGTCCTTGCCAGCGCAGTCTTTCTCAGGCCCGAGTCCCTTCGGACTCGTGACCATATTTTACTGCCTCAGATATGAGACTTCCCTTTTCGTTGCCTCCTACGACTCGCAGGGTCACGGTTGAGGTATTCGACTCCCCCTCCACACGGGGTATCTCCTCGCCTCCTCACTACATACAAATAGTCTCGCCTTATATAGCATCGGTTGGACTCCATAGAAAACACCGTCTCCTGTATTTTTGGCCCCGTGTATCGCGCGTTGCATAGCAACGGTTACGGCTCGGACCACAGAAGACACCGGTCGAGTGTGTGTTGCGAGATTTGGCTAGCAATGGCTCTATGCGTCACACCATAATATAGTATTTTTACAATTCATAAGATGCTCTCACTAACTGGACTATATAGCGTCGAATGACAGATGAATGATGAAATCGAAAGGATTTGAAAGGAAGCGACCAATACTAGAATCCGAATCAGAATTAATGTTTGCATTCAAAAAACATTGAAATTGAATCACAGGAAGATGAAGCGGAAGAGATTAAGCAGCTTAATTAGTTATGACTAGAACAATGACTGCAATGACAATGGAGATGGCGTTAGTGTCAGTTACGCCACTAAAAGCTGATGAAAATTACAAATGAACATAGATCACATTTCATATAATAGAACTGCATGTGTATCTATTGAATGCAAGGCAGTGGCCCGAAGTTTACGTTATTCAGCTCGCAATGAGACGTTCTATTGTTTGTCAGTAGATTCTGAAGCCTGTTAATGATAATTAATGATGGTTACAATGATGAACCAGTCTCGTATACACGGCGCATGCGAATAATGGTCCTATTAATACAGCCAATTTAAATTTATCATACTCATCCGGCAAAAAGCATTCTCTGAGAAAGTCAATTGAAGCAGTAACAAACTTGTATTTTATTCCGGAAATTCCCAGTTCAAATCTCGACCAGATCCTAGATTTCTCTTGTTTTTACTATGGATGTTCAGGTAAATTCTGATACATTGCTTTGAATTTTGCTACGTGAGTTTCCTTCAACATCCTTTCAAATTCATCATTTACTTTTAAATAATCATACGAAGTCATAAACTGAAATACGAACACTAAGTGCGCCGTTAAGCAAATTACAAATAAATAAAAGAGGATTAAGCAGACAGGATTATTTTCCTAACTCCTCGGCAAACAACGGCACATGATTGGTTTTGAATACAGAAGGTATTTCAAAGATTGTTCTCCTCCTAGAAGCTGGTATATACGAGTATATCATCTCTCACTGACTGATTCTGTTTATCCCCGGCTATTTCGTACCTCCACCGATCACAATGGCCTTCGCTTGCTCAAACACTTGGATCGTGGGTTCGAATCCCACTCGTAGCATGGATGTTTGTCTGCTTTATCTCTGTATTTGTGTTGTTCTGTGTGTAGGTAGCGACTTTGAGACGGGCTGATTCCCCGTCCAAGGAGTCGTACTGTCTGTGTAAAACAAATAACGAAACTGAAGAAGAGGCCAGGACCCAACAAAAGGCTGTAGAGCCGTTGATGAATGAATGAATGAATGAATGAATTCCGTACCTCGGGTTTGAGTAGGGATATAATAACTCTATCAGTAACAATTCTGCTGTTTTTAAGGACTGGAACTTATTTATTTACTTATGGAGCTGAGCCCTTCTCGATGAGC